GGTTACGAGACTAGAGAGGACCTTCTTTTACTTGATATAATTGACTTTGAGGTCATCCTGGGCATGGATTAGTTATCCCCATACCACGCCATCCTTGATTGCCATGCCAAGACTATTACTTTAGCGATGCCAGAGTTGCCGAGATTGGAGTGGTAGGGTTCCTCCGTTAGTACAGCTAGTCGGATTATCTCTTTTCTGAAGGCTCGACATATGGTCGAGAAGGGTTGTTTGGCTTATCTAGCTAATGTTCGAAACACTATAGCAAAGTCTCCGATGATTGATTCAGTGCTAGTAGTTCGGGAATTTGCCGATGTGTTTCCTTCTGACCTTCCAAGCATGCCACCGGATCATGATATTGATTTCTGTATTTATTTGGCTCCAGGTACCCAGCCTATATCTATCCCACCATACCGTATGGCTCCAAAAGAGTTGAAGGAGAAGCTTGAGGAGTTGTTAGCAAAGGAGTTTGTGAGACCAAGTGTATCGCCTTGGGGTGCACCAGTGTTATTTGTGAAGAAGAGAGATGGGACTATGCGGATGTGCATGATTACCGCCAGTTAAACAAAGTCACCATCAAGAACAAGTACCCAGCAGTCAGGAAGCAGGTCATACTGCGAGTTTCTAAAATGAGTCACTACAAGGCATATTTTTAGGATGACGACGTCCCATCAAAATGTGAAGCTCATCGTATGTGGCATTTGAAAATTATCGTGGAAAAAGATACCATCGAGCCAGATTGATATCACGCCGGTCATGTGTACTTCTAACCATCATGGTTAGAAGATAACATAGCAGGAATATTCGAGCCAAGGGTTGGTCCAGGAAATAGAGTCATAGATGAAGTTGTCGAAGCACAAGTGAAATATAACAAACTGCGCTATCGATGATTTTTTTGACCAGTTGCAGGGTGCTAGGGTGTTTTCTAAGATCGGCTTGAGATCGGGGTACCATCAGTTAAAGATTCGGGACTCAGATGTTCCGAAGACTACCTTCCGTACTAGATATGGCCATTATGAGTTTCTAGTGATGTCCTTTGGTTTGACTAACGCCCCAGCGGCGTTTATGGATTTGATGAACCGGGTGTTCAGGCCTTATATTGATTCCTTTGTTATTGTCTTCATTGATGATATCTTGATTTACTCACGTAGCCTGGGGGAGCACGAGCAGTATTTGAGAGTGGTGCTACAGGCATTGCGAGAATAGAAGCTATATGCCAAGTTCTCCAAGTGTGAGTTTTGGCTTGATTTTGTGGCATTCTTGGGGCATGTGGTATCAAGAGAGGGTATTAAGGTGGACCACAAGAAGATTGGGGCAGTTCAGAGTTGTTCACGTCCCACTTTGATGATTGAGATTAGGAGTTTCCTGGGGTTGGCAAGATATTATCGCCGGTTTGTGCAGGGCTTTCATCCATTGCGGCACCTCTGACTAGATTGACCCAAAAGGGTGCTCCGTTCTGTTGGTCCGATGATTGTGAGGCGAGCTTTCAGAAGCTCAAGACAGCTTTGAGTACAGCACCGGTTCTAGTGTTGCCTTCCGGTTCGGGGATGTATACGGTGTATTGTGACGTTACACGTGTTGGCTCGGGTTGTGTATTGATGCAGGAGGAGCAAGTTATTGCATATGCTTCGCGTCAGCTGAAGATTCATGAGAAGAATTACCCTATGCATGATTTAGAGTTAGCCGTGATTGTTCATGCTCTTAAGATATGGAGGAATTATCTGTATGGGGTGTCATGTGAGGTTTATACTGATCAGCGCAGCTTACAACATTTGTTAAGGGATCTCAATTTGAGGCAGCGTAGATGGCTTGAGTTATTGAAGGATTATGATATCACTATTCTTTATCATCCGGGCAAGTAAATGTGGTCGCGGATGCCATATGGGTAGCTTGGCATTCAGTTCAGCGGAGGAGAGGCCACTAGCTTTGGACATTCAGGCCTTGTCTAACAGACTTGTGAGGTTGGACATTTCATAGCCCAGTCGAGTTCTTGCATGTATTGTTGCCCAATCTTCCCTATTAGAGCAGATCAAGGCTCTACAGTATGATGATCCGCACTTGGCATTCCTTAGGGAGACGGTACTACACGGTGGTGCCAAGGAGATTTCTATGGGCGAGGATGGTGTTCTGCGACTCCAGGGTCGTCTATGTGTTCCTAATGTCGATGGCTTGAGGGAGAGGATTCTAGAAGAGGAACACAATTCTCGGTATTCTATTCATCCAGGTGCTACGAAGATGTATCGTGACCCTGAAGGAACAAATCTTGAATGAAATGCAATTTATTTTATGGGAGATTCCCGTTAAGTATCTTGGTGTTCCCCTCCCTTCTATGAAACTCACTATACAACATTGTATGCCCTTAGTATAGAGAATGACATCAAAAATCAGAAGCTGGACTACCAAGCTACTATCATATAGTGGAAGATTACAATTGATCAAAAATGTGTTGTTTGAGATGCAAACATATTGGGCTCAAGTCTTCCAACTACCAAAGAAAGTAATTCAATTACTAACGAGTATTTGCAGAACATTTCTTTGGACAGGAAGCTGTGATGCATCGAGGAAGGCACTAGTGTCATGGGAACATCTATGTATGCCCAGGTCAGCTGGAGGTTTGAATCTCATCAACTTTTACACATGGAACAAATCAGCAATCTGTAAACTTCTTTGGGCAGTGATCATAAGAAAAGAGTCTCTTTGGGTACTATGGATTCATGGATTCTATATAAAAAATAAAAACTTAGCCACTATGCCAACACCTAAACAAACATGCTGGCTTGTGAGAAAATTTTTTGATGCAAGGAACTGATATAGGGACAAGGACCTTACAGTGGAATTGCGGAAATGCGCTACACAGGAAGAATTTAGCATAAAGAAAGCATACCTATATCTATGTCCACAGTACTAGAAAGTACCTTGGAAACACATTACTATAGGAACACAGCTGATGCCAGGACATCAGTTTATACTATGGCTTGCAGTTCGATAATGCTTGGCTACCATTGATCGACTGGAAAGATGGTGGATTCATGTTCCTAAGAAATGTATTTTATGCAACTCAAGTGAGGATGAAACCTTTACACATCTGTTCTTTGGATGTACCTATTCAAGACAAATATGGGCTACCTTGCTGCGATGGATAGGAGAACCTAGACAGATAACTACACGGAATGAAGAAATAAATTGGATGGCTAAAAGAACGAGGGGAGGCAAACCAAGACAAGAAATTATAAGATGGTTGTTTGCTGCTACTATTTACCATGTCTGGAAATGAAATAATCGAAGGTTCCAGCAGGAAAAGAAAGAAAGTGGGTATAGAATAAGAGAAATTGTCCTTCAGCTGCATACTAGAGGGCAGAGGTATCACAAATGGCAAAAAGTGTTAAAGAGTCTAAATTATTTTCCTATATAGAAGTAGCAGATTCTTTAGATTTAAATTATTTTCCTATATAGAAGTAGCAGATTCTTTAGATTCTATGTATAGGTTGAGATGCTACTTAGATAGGTATTGACTATACAGAACTAGTCCTAGAGTCCAAAAGGATTAGTAGATGTACATATATACACTTGGTTGAATAAAAAATTTTATTTTGACCAAAAAACGAAAGGAAGGGGGA